ACATGCTGAGATCGAAGCCCTGATCGGCTCGTGCTGTATTGGGCGGGTTTCGCAGAACGAGCTCCATGTTACAGCTGGCCCTGATAGCCTTTCCTCTTGTGCCGATGGCTCGTAGGCGCTCGGCGACGTCAGGATGACTCGCCGCCAGTCTATGGCATGGCCCCGTAGTAACGATAGCGTGTACCAAATCTTCGCTGCATCCAACGTGACGTAATTCGCGTAAAAGAATACGTTCATCGTGAACACCCATGATGAATCGTCGAACCTCCACGCTGGCTAGGACTGAAAGAGGGTGGGCACTGCGGTTTGAGTGGCATCGGCTCACCAATGTCGTTGCTGTCGGCAGGTGCGACGATGCGCTCATGACGACGAGCTTCACGAGGTATGTTCACGCCCAGTGCGGCCCTAGTTCTCTCCATGCCTGGCATCGATTGGGCGGTGCCATCTCCGATTGCACATGAGCGATGTACCACGCTGTCGTGCTGCGATGGCGTTCCTGATAAGATGATAATCGGTTCGTCCGATTGTGCAGGTGCATTTCTAGGTGCCGGTGATGGTGCATTTGCCGTGGATTGCTGTCGTACGGAGTCGCGTTACGCCGTGAGTGCCGTAATTTCGAGCGTCGACTCCTCGAGCAGCACATTTGTTCGTCGAGGCCCTCATGTGTCAACGTCGCGAGCTGGATGCGGTCGAATTTAGCCATGGCGGGGGTGTCGGGCTAGCTCAGCGAGAGGCTCAGTCGTGGCCGAGTATGCTTTCGAAAGAGCATACGAGCAGCGGTGCTTTGGTCACAGAGAGGCGTTTACCCCCTCCAAATTTTGAGATAATGTGGGAAGCGAAGGTGTGGGCGCGGTCCGAAATGGGTCGTGGCTCTGATACCAAGTGTTATGAGTGTGATCGAGCGAGCGAGCGAGGATTACACTATCGAAGCAAAACAATACAATGAGCGAAGGAATGGGCGAATGTTAAATAGCGAACTAGGTGTGGTAACGGTAATGAGAGAATTGTAGGGTGCACGACGAGCTTTGCTCCGAGGTTAGGAACTGTCGAGGTGGATGACCGAAGCGCGGGTTACCCGCCGAGCCGTAAAGGTTGGGTGCGGTGTGAATAGTGGCGAAAACAGCAGTCACAGCGCGTGTCGCATGTGATAACGACGAACTGTTGCGATACTGTTGGCAGGAACAGTCAGGTACGCGGTAAGCAGGGATGCGAAGTAAGGAAAAAAAAAAATCCTCACACCAAGACTTGAGTTCATGAGTGATTTTGTTTATTCCACTATTCTCTACTTGTGTTAGGCCAATATGAGTAACATTGGGAAGTATGTACAACTACCGCTATAGAGAATCATCAATTAGCGGATCATCAGCCTCAGATGTGCAGCAAATTCGCTTGGTGGTTAGCCACCAATGGTTATTCTGCTTGGAGAAGACGCTGGTTGCTTGGGTGTCAAGGAGACTTCACCTCCAGTGCATACAAAGTTCGATGTCAGTTTCCATGGTCCACTCAGGAGCAACGCAGCGCTCTCTCGCTTTTCTTCACTCGCTGATCTTCTTCCCATAGCGCCAGGCCAGTCTGCTTCTGCGGTGTTCAAGGACATGGCCGTCCGTTGCTGCGTGGGGAGCACTCTTTTGAAGCACAGGAAAAGGCGGTGAACCCTGCTATATGCATCCGCTCCTCGTCTGACATAGTTGCCTGCCCCCGTTTATTATTTATGCGTGCCTCTAACCACTTAGCCGTTGTATCTCTTTCTGTCTTCTGTGTGTGTTAGTCGTTTGCGTTGCAGATCACGCTGGCCTGATCTTCAGTGATTCCTACTGACTCCGCCGATTCGGAATCGATTCCGTTACGCTTTTCGTCCCTTCATTCTATATCTCCGGTGAGGCTCGGTGATCGGATGACGATGTTAAAACACTGCAACAAAATGAAGTCAGTGGCCGTTTCGGCATTGGCCCGTGTGTACAGGTTTAAGTCTCCGACGATCCCGGCCACCCTCACCCGTTACGTAATTCTTCACATTACGTACCTTTGCATTCTGAGATTCGTAGTCGTATCGCTCCAACAAGATTTGATGTTGGTAATCAAGAGCGGTGATGAGTATCTGACAGGAGCATGTCGCGTTGGCCTTCAGAGGCAGCATCGCTGCCAGTGAGACTATTCTTGTCTCTGAGCTCTTCGACATTCCTCACTTCCCCTTTTGTGCCGAATTTTGCTTTCCTTAGCATTTTGTTGCTCCGAAAGCAACCGTTATGTTTCTATTTTGAGCCTGGATCCACCCGTTGCGAGTGATGAATCGCCTAGTTTCACGACGGTCGTCTGAGCACGGTACTAGCTGCCGTCACTGCTGAGTCTGAGCTTTCGAATCTGACGACCAGCGGGTGATCCACGTCCCATCCTTTGCTTTCGTGTTCTTCTTGCTCTCGTTTCTCGTTTCCTCTATCCCTTATTTCCTACCCTCCATTGTCGTCGTTTCGCGCCGACAGTTGTGCGTGCCCCGTGATGCACTAATCTTTGAGACCTGAGGCCAGCTCAGCGGCTGTGCCTTTTCTGATGACTAAATCCGCTTAGTACCTGAGGGCATTTAATCTCGGTTTCTACTGGGGCGTATTGCCCCAATCCGCCATTTTTCCGCCGTCCCTCTTTCCTTTCGTTCACCGTTTACATTGTCTGTCTTGTTTCTTGACGACGCATCGTAGATGTGACACGGCTTAAAAGGGCCGGTCATCCCTTTGTTCCCGGCAATCCCAATGCCGGGGTCACCAGAAACCGTCCCTGAGATGAGAGCGCGGTCTCTCCCTCTCACCCTGCACCCCTGGGTGCATGTGCGGGAGGGAGGGGTCGCAGTGGCCAGACAACCACTGGGCGTTTCTCCACTGAGGCCTGGCCTTCTTCCCGCCTTGCCTCAACTATGAACCTGCCCACATTCGCCTTCTCGAGCATTATGCAAACTCTGTCCTCTATAGGGGTGTTTTGACGCTCCGTTTTTTTCGTTCAGCGAGGATGTGATGTGACAAGAGTTCTTGACCTTTTCCTGACCCTGGGTTCCTTGAGCCCTCAGCTGATGCTTCACATCACTCAGAGGCTGTTTCTGATCCTCCTATGTACCATTTTTCTCCGCTATTTTGAGTCGCGCAGCCGTTTTTTGTCAATTTTCCTGTACGAGTCAGCCGGAATGTGCGTGGGAGTGATGAAACAACTTTGGTCCGTGTTTCTGATGGCTTGAGCCGCTGACGACACCCGCAGCTGTGCTGCTGTCTGACCCACAGCATGTTGTCACCGCACTTGTCACCACTCTTCGTTGCAATTGTCTTGAGCACGTGGTGGAGACGTGGGAGGTTGATGCTTCAATTAGATGTACGACACCCGTGCTCCGGCAGGGTTTGTGAGTTTAACCCTTTGAGGCAAAATCCATTCACGTCTGACTCCCCGTTTCCATCTCGCCTTGTTACTCGCATGTACATTTCGTGTACCCTTTACCTTCTCCCTCATGTACCTCTTGCCTTCACGCGTGTCGCCTCTTTTCGCGCCTAAAAGTCCCCACAGCAGCGATTTCGTTTCCTTTCAGGAGCGATAGTCTTAGCCTGCAGTGGCTACGAGCATGGCGCCACATTGGTTGTATTCATTTGTGGGAGCTACGCTTTCCCCTCTGTCGTTGTACCAGTGGTAGCCAGGGGCTGCTGCTCCCTCCACATTACTCACGGTTGGCCCTTCAATGGAGCGCGAGCACTTTTTCAATCTCAGCTGATGCCAGCTGTGTGCTCATGCGCCGTTTTTTCTTGTGAAGTTCAAGAGGCCTTGGCTGCCTCCTGCTTCACCTGTTAACCTTTCCCATGCTGCTTGGCGCGATGATTTAAACTTATATTCCTCGTTCTGAATCTCCTTTGGGAGACAGTGCGGACAGCATATAACACCACTCATAGAACCTGAGCGCCTTGCTACCTCCACCCCATGTTCTGTGACTCCTGGCCCCTCCCCCCCTTTTCCCCCCTCCCCCCCCCCCCCCCCCCCTCCCCTCCCCTCCCCTTGCACCCACTACCTTACTAAGTGTCTTATTGGTGTTCTGCATGTGACTATCGATTTCTCGTTCCAAAACACGACCTTGTGCATTTATGTACTCGGGACCAAGATAACCAGAAATTATCTAGTAACCAAGGTGCCACGGTTGAAATGCTCGAAGCAAATTGAGAATGCTGAGACATATTGCGGATGCAGAATTTACATACCGTGACTAACAACACGAAGACCTTGGAAAAGTCGCTTTTTATGTTTGTTGGTTAAAGCTGTCGGCCCAAATTGCACAAGTTTTTAAAACTTGGCCCAGGGGAAAAACAGGTGGCGAGGGGTGGGAAAGGGAAAGTTGGGAGCTGAAAGAAGGTACACCCAGTAAGCGAAATCGCGAATTTTTTAGCGAACAGTCGAGTCTAACAACAGAAAACCAGCCAATAGAAATTGTCGCACGGTGCACCACACACCGCGACCAAAAATCACACAACACAACACTTTCGCAGCTCTTGCGCTGCCACACACACAACACCATGACCTGGGCTTTCGACAACCAACCATGAGGCCCGCTAGTGCTTGATACTGCATACAGCAGCCAACTATAGTAGGCGGCACGAGCAAGCACACTTGCGTCGCGGATGATAAAACTACCAAATCCTTAGCATTACGACAGCCATAAAGGTTGCAGTTGAGATAAAAAACGTCACACGACCGTCATCAACAAACAGAACCACTTCATTCGAGACGGCGAGATAGGGAATATGGCCCGTCGCCCTGGAAAGGATGCTTCTCGAAGGTATGAAAAAACCCTGGACACGGCACGAACGTCGGCGCGAAACTGAAAGCATCGGAATGCGGCGAAATATCAAACACTGAATGCCAGCGCGGATAACGTCATATGGCACTACGTGGGAAACCTCACTTTCGCCCAATAAATAGCGACGCCACTTGACCATCTCCCATGCACCCACCTTCGCCATCACTTCCCCCTACTGTCGCCATCACTTCCCCCTCACGTCGCCTCCACTTCCCCCTACTGTCGCCATCACTTCCCCCTCCCGTCGCCTCCACTTCCCCCTCACGTCGCCTCCACTTCCCCCTCCCGTCGCCTCCACTTCCCCCTGGTCATTCTCTTTCCCCCTTTCCTCACCCCCTTCACCACCCTGGTCATTCTCTTCTCCCCTTTCTACACCCTGCTCACCCCTTTCTACACCTTGCGCACTCTCTTTCCCCCATTCCTCACCCCCTTCACCACCCTGGTCATTCTCTTTCCCCCTTTCCTCACCCCCTTCACCACCCTGGTCATTCTCTTTCCCCCTTTCCTCACCCCCTTCACCACCCTGGTCATTCTCTTTCCCCCTTTCCTCACCCCCTTCACCACCCTGGTCATTCTCTTTCCCCCATTCCTCACCCCCTTCACCACCCTGGTCATTCTCTTTCCCCCTTTCCTCACCCCCTTCACCACCCTGGTCATTCTCTTTCCCCCTTTCCTCACCCCCTTCACCACCCTGGTCATTCTCTTTCCCCCTTTCCTCACTCCCTTCACCACCCTGGTCATTCTCTTTCCCCCTTTCCTCACCCCCTTCACCACCCTGGTCATTCTCTTTCCCCCTTTCCTCACCCCCTTCAACACACGGCTCACTCTCTTCCACACTTGCTCACCCCCTTCTACACCCTGCGATCTCTATTTCCCCTACAAACACCCTCCCTGTCCCCCAGTCCTACCCTCCCTTTCCCCCCCTCCACCTCGTCCTTCCCCGCACTACCCTTTCCTTTCCACCACACCTGCCCGTCCAATCCCCCACTACCCCCGATCCAATCCCCCACTTCCCCCGATCCAATCCCCCACTTCCCCCGATCCAATCCCCCACTTCCCCCGATCCAATCCCCCACTTCCCCCCATCCAATCCCCCACTTCCCCTGATCCAATCCCCCACTTCCCCCCATCCAATGCCCCACTCCCCCCCGTCCAATCCCCCACGCCCCCCCGTCCAATCCCCCACTTCCCCCCATCCAATGCCCCACTTCCCCTGGTCCGATTTTCCCACACCACTAGGGCCACACCACCTTTCCGACTGTGCATGCCCTCCTATCTTGCAGCGACCCATTTCATCCTAGGTTCGCCCTCCCATCTGCGCCTCATTCTCACCAGCACCATCAACACCACCCATTCACCACACCATCAACACCACCCACTCACCAGCACCATCAACACCACCCACTCACCAGCACCATCAACACCACCCACTCACCAGCACCTTCAACACCACCCACTCACCAGCACCATGTATACCACCCACTCACCAGCACCATGATTATGGCGGTTGAAATGCGCTCGCATCACCTCACACGGGTGATGCGGGGGGAAGGTGCTGCAGGATGGGTTGTACGAAAATGAGGGGATGTGAACCTGCAGAGGGGAAGGTGGGAGAGGCAACACAGTGGGCTCGTTTCCCCCACTTATTATTCCCCGTCGGGGCTCATCATCTGTTTTGGTGTCCACCGTCAATCTCGTCCATCTTTCCTCATTCAAATGCTACTGAATCTGCGCGCACGCCCAGCATTGCCGCGCAGGACATACAAGTTGTCCGTCATTGTATTTGGCTGTTGGGGTCTCCCTTGTAACGCATATCCAGCCATCGATTCCAAACCGTGCAAATCTATACACCATTTCCAAACCCAACCTTCAGGCGTGGGAGGCAGACGGATGCAAGAGCAAGTGGAGGGTCCACTGTAGCGAATCTTAGCGACGAGCATGACAAGGCGGTTCACGGCATATCCAAGCATATGAGGCCATTCATATGCCTTCAACGATGCGGGTTGTCGGCATTGATGGGGGGGAAGACCGAGGCGACAACTGCTGATGTTCTTTACTACTTCATGATGAACGCCCCTACAGCGTACAAACGGCTGATGCGGGCTGCCAAAGAAGCAGGTAAGGGTGGAAAGTTGGTGATCAAGTCATAGCATGGTCGTGTGTCCGTGATAGTTGAGCAATCTGATTGTTTTGCGCATCACAACGGCACAAGCAGCCACACAATAATGGATGGGGTGTACTTGGTGTCACCGTTGTTCCGTGGCAGGAACACATGGGGGAGATGCATTGGCGACGGCAGAGCTTCACCTTGAGGCATACGGGCGCCAGTTCGATGCACGGGCAAACAGTGGTATTAACGCCGTAACTGGGATAGTGGAGAAGGCAGATTGCCCAATCGAGGGTGTGGTTTACAACTTCCCGCCCTACAAAGAGGATAAGAAGGGGAAAATACGCCCTGTTCGTGGAAACGGTTGGGGTGGGGCCCGAAGGGGTAAAGCCTTCGAGAGCGTGCGTGGACAAGGTGAGCAACATCGTGGCGTTGGCACAAGAGTATGCTATGTTGGCCATACAACCCCTTTCCTGCAACCCCCTACCGCTTACCCCATCGTCCATCACCTTGCGAACCGCTCTCCTCCTCCCTCTTCTCACTGCATGATCCTTACCCACTCTATTTCCCGCCCTTCTCACTCCCCCCACCCGTCGCCTCACCCAAAACTCGCCTGTATCCTCCCCTCTCTCCTCCACTCCCGTCTCAGCTCCTACCCTTCCTACCCACTCCATCCTCCCCCGCTCCTCCTCACTCCAGTCCACAGCCAATCGAGGCATCGACCCCTCTTCCTCCGGCATCCCTCTACGAGTCTTTCCACTCTACGAGTTTCACCCCCTAAACCCTGCTGCGGCCATGGGCCTCAGGGGTGCTACTAGTCCCTGCGGGGAGTGGCTAGCGAGAGACGGAAATTCGGTCCACAGTCAAGAGGCGAGAATGAAGTGAAGATGCGCCAATTCGGACAAAAACCAACCCGCCAGTGCTGCTGCCCTGCTCTAGCTTTTCAGAACTCTCAAAAGCCACTCATGTTCTGACATGCGTCACCCTCCCAGTGCTGCTGATCTCCGAGGCATCTTCTGAGATGCTTCGTGCTGTTGTCCATGGCTGTGGCCCCCATTGCACCCACCTTTGACCACAGTTAGCATCGCTATTAGCACCACTGCCTGAGTGTACACTCACTTCCCCTTACCTGCACTTCGCCCACCGTGCCGCGCTGCTCAGGTCAGGCTGAATTGGGAGCGTATCAATGACGCACACCCGCAGCCACAGCACCAGCTAGCACCACCGCTAGCGCCACCAGCGCCACCCTTGGCACCACTGCCTCGTACTTTCTCACCTGCACTGTGAACACTCGAGGTCTGGCCTCCATGGGAGAGTATCAATGAGGCAGGACAAGGCACACCCACGGCCATAGCACCAGCTAGAACCACCCCCGGCGAAACCTATGAACATCATACTAGCGCCACTAGTGGCACCTGGCGCCTCATATTCCCTCACCGCACTTTGACCACTTGTGGCCTGGTACCCACGGGTGAGGATCAACGAGGCAACGGGCCCCATACCCACCACCACAGCACCTGCTGGCACCAACCCCACCCCCAGCAACATTAAGCCCAGCACCACTATCAGCACCAGTGCCTCATTTTCCCTCACAACCATACTTCGACCACTTGTGCCGCTCAGGCAGCCATGAGAGAGGATCAATGAGGCAGCACAGCATCCACCCAGCACCTGCTAGTACCACCAGCAGCACCACCAGTGCCACTATTAGCCTCACCTTCACTTTGACCACTCGTGCTGCTCTGGCCGCCGTGGGAGGCGATCACTAAGGCAGCATGACACACAGACAGCACCAGGGCACCCGTCACAACCAGCCCCAGCAGGACCAGCGCGGGATGGCTCATTGCTGTCCTCTGGTTTTTGTTTCGTATGGTTTGGCTCGCCAGATCGCTACTCGCCTGGGTTGGGAGGAGAGTCGAGCCTGTGATAGCGAGATGAGGAGGAGGAGGGGAAGGGGGGAATGGAAGAGTGAACTGGTGATATACCCTCATATGCAGCCCCACTCCATGTCCGTGGTGAAGCCAGCTCCAGCACGCACCGCCATCAGCGCTACCAGCAGGTCCAGCAGCAGAAGCAGCAGCAGCTGGACGAGGAAGAATGACAAAGCAAGCTTCTCTAGGTCTTCGCCTTCCTGCCTCACCCAACCCTATCCCTAAACCTGAAAACTGCCGCCCTCAAATCATCGAGAAAATGTTCCCAACTTTACACCTCTCCACCTGCATCTTCCCCTCCGAACCTGCAACTACCTCTTCCAACCAGCAACTACCTCTTCCAAAAAAGAACGAACCCTCTCACACACCATCCGTCGATCTCATCCCCTAAAATTACTTGGCAAAAACGTCCTGTCGCCGCCGAAGCTGCAATGGAGGGACCAGATTCGACGCCAGCAAGGCCAGGGACGACCGAGCATCGCCTGCAGGTTCGGAATCCATGGCACGGGTCTACGAGCCTAGGAGATCCGTGGAGGCCCGTCCTGAGTATTCCAGCCAATTACGGGGCTCCATGGAGAAGCAGGGAGCAGAGACGGAGTGGGAAAGTCCTTCTGCTGCCGTGGATGGAGGTAAGGGAGCAGGCGCAACGGCGCCAGAAGAGACGTCGTAAGACGAAACGGTGACTGTAGCAGCGGCATGATGGAGAGGCGGAGGGGCGGCTTGCGTGGAGCGGCTGAGAGGAGAAGACGGGGCGTAGGGGATGGTAGGCTATGAGTGGTTGCGGCGGAACGGAGAGAGAAGGTGAGAGGAGGGATTGGAGGTGTGGGGAAGGGAGGGGCGAGGGGAAGAGGTGGGCTCGGATGGAGATGGGAGGGGATGAGGGAAAGGTGACGCTTACAAACAAGGCGGGGAGAGGAGGGCGTACGAGCCAGACGGCGTGGGGTGACGCTCTCCGAATCCAGCGATGCCCCATCCATATTCCACGGACAGACGGCGGGGAGAGAGGGCTGCAAAGGGGCATGGGGACAGTGGGGTCGCATTCGAAAGGTGGGAAGGGGGGATTTGATGGGTTGATTTGAGGGGGTCTTGAGGCATGAACTGTCGGACACGACATTAGGTATGCGTTGGTAGCCTTGACGACGAGGTGTCTGATTCGCAACCACATGTCGAACTTGGTCGCGAAACCCTAAACCGATGCGCTTGTTTGTAAGCGTCGCGCGCATTTCCGGCCATTCGCTCCACCGATGCAATGACGAGTCGGCGTTTTACCCGCCCGTGTAGTTCGCATGTACGACGCGTTCATTCAGGCACGATGCGTGGCGCAACCTCTCACCACGGCATAAAACTATGCGCGACGAATCACCGCGCGGCGAGACGCGGCGCGTAAGGGCGAAGGTGGCGATCAGCCCGAGGCTACATGGCCAGTCGACGGCGTGCCGCCATGGCTGTAATTATCATGGCCGTGACGGCGAACGCGACCGTCGTTACAACCGCCGTTGCGATTTATCCTCTCTGCGCTATAACCAGGACACTTCCCGTACGACCATCATTCTAAACTGTAAGATTTGCTGGTTGCACCCTACGCTCCTTCGTGATGGCGTCGAAATGCTATCAGGTGTGCTATGGGCAATCGTGGTGTGCCAGGGATGTGTGATGGCCTATTGTACGGCTCTGCAGCTGGTGCTAGTTTGTGTTTTGAAGTTCCAAATTGCGCTCAATCTGGTTCAATTTTTTGGGTGAGTGTTGGCAAGACGGGTTCTTCAGAACCCTGGGCTGCGACGGAACACAATTGTGTTCAATTTCATTGGCTCCCATCCCTTGGGGATATGTTATCATTGGTTCATTTCCTCAATTGTGTCGCGCGGACTTCAGCCTACTCTAAACTCGGTAACCCGAAAGTCATTGCGTCAAGTATTAAAAGCTTGACGCGCGCGGCTTGCAATTTGGGTCAACGGCTTTAAGGTTCATGTGTTTCTTGCTAGATAGCTGTATTGCTTTGTGTGTTTCTTGCTAAGTAGCTGTGTTATGTGGAAACAAAGAACGAGAAAATGAAATGACTATGAACGAAGTGAGTACAAATAGGAAACCCTAATTGGGTTGTACCCCCTATGGGATACCCCACTATAGCCTACAGAAACAAGTAAGCTATAAGTTCTGA